AAATCTAAATAGTGATTTCGATAGCCCTTGAAGTTCTCTATCGAAAACAGTATAGATCAAAATCCTCGAAAAAACTTTCCTTAGAAAGTTTTACAAAAAACCGAAGTGCTCCAAAATCAAGTACCAGAGGCACTTGAGAAAAATATTTCAAAATATACTCATCTGAAAGAGCAAAAAATTCTGAGCAAAATGAGGGGTCGCCCAGTTCTCTACGATGTTTCCTTATAAAGTTATAAGCATCAGAAAAGTGAAAAAACTTTAAAATTCATCAAAAAATCGCTAAAAATAGCTTTAAAACACACTTTTTTTCACTTTTCTGCTGCTTATAACTTTATAAGGAAACATCGTAGAGAACTGGGCGACCCCTCATTTTGCTCAGAATTTTTTGCTCTTTCCGATGAGTATATTTTAAAATGTTTTTCTCAAGTGCCTCTGGCACTTGATTTTAGAGCACTTCGGTTTTTTGTAAAACTTTCTAAGGAAAGTTTTTTTGGGGATTTTGATCTATACTGTTTTCGATAGAGAACTTCAAGGGCTATCGAAATTACTATTTAGATTTGATCTAGCTATTCGTCTTCATTGAAAAATCTCAACGACAAAAGATGGGCTATAATTTTGTTATACCCTGTATATCGTAAACATTTGTATTTCCCACGGATGCTAGCTTGTAGAATCCATCGGGTTAGAATATATGTGTTATCTCCTTGCTTATTAAATTTCTAAAAGATTAAGTATAAAGAGGATGACGATATGTGTCTTAAAATAGATAGAATAAAAAGATTTTCCTATAATTAGCAACAAAAAAAGTATATGGTGTTTTATATATTAATTCCGCTAGGATTTTGTTCTAATAACTTTTTTGTTTTTGTTTATATCTTAGCTGCACCACTTTTATTTCCTGTCTATTTTCAATTTATGACAATAAAACATGCAATTAAACGAAAAAAATGGATGGTAAAATATGGCAGAAAATTTTCTATTGATTTTAGTAATTTTTATTATAGGATCTTGCATGGTTAACATTGTATTATGTTAAATATTTTTCAATAATGCCATTAAAACTTGGTTTAATTGGTGCATTGAAATTACATTTTCTAATTCGGTAATATCAATTATATGAATTTAATGTAATATATTTGTTTTTTTCTTTAGATTATTTGAGGGTACTTGGTTCGGTATGTTTAATTTTGTCTTTCATCTTGTTTTTTTTTTTCTCATTTTATTTTTTTCAATATTTATGTATGTTAATGTAGTGGTTGTTACACAATCAAATCATGTCGTTATGGATATATCACCTGATGATGACAAATTATGTTGGTTTCGAATGCAATTAAAAGCAACATGTAATATTGAAAAATCATTTTTCAATGATTGGTTTACTGGTCATTTAAATTTTCAAATTGAACATCAGTATGTTTATCTATTTATAAAAGTAGTATTAGAAAAAAAAACAGTGATATATATATTACTTGTTTTAGTTTATTTCCTATGATGCCTCGTCATAATCTTTATAAAATCCAACCGGATGTGATTGAATTATGTCAGAAATATAATATTCCTTATATTGTTAAACCTATGGGACGAGCATTTATTGATATATTAACGTAAATAAAAGAATATTCTATTTTAAAAATAAATGAAAAAGATTCGTCGTTTTTTTTATTTCTAATTTTAGTTCATTGGAAAAATCTGGTCGAATGTGGCGTGAAACTTATGAAGAATTAATGAATGCGTCGTCTAGTCCAATCAAATCAAATACATGATTAGAAATGCATTTTTCTTTTCTCGTAAACAAAAATATCGTAGTTTTCTTAGATGAAAAACAAATTATTTCTGACTTACATGTTTTCTTTTTTATCACAAATTTATGTTGACAACAATAAATAAAACTTGAAAAAAAAAACAAATTCTAGTATTTAAAATGAATTTATTCAATATAATTATTCATAATGACTTCTATGAAATTCAACATTAAATATTTCAATGAAATTGAAAAAGAAAAAATATGCGTATATAAATAAGCAAACATAAAAACAAAGAAAAACATTCCTTAAATAACAAAAGTTTATTAAGTTTGATTATTTTTAATTTTGATCTTGAATTATTTGAGCTATTAAAGTTCGAGATGAATTATATAAACCTTTTACCTAAAAGAAAAATAATTATTAGAAATAGAAAATCTTTCTATTTAGGGACATACTTTATTATTTTTTCGTAACCATTGTTCATGTGCTCTTGAAATTGATTTTGATTTTCCAAATATATAAATATATTTAACCTGTGAAAGATCATGTAAATGTGGAATAAGTGTTGGAGCAAGTGTTGTTGAAATAATAACAAGTAATTTTTCCTGTCTTGTATGATTATTATTATTCATTCTACCAATTTGTTTAATATATCTTTCACATGCGTCAACTCGATCAAATACTCGAACATAATTAACAAGATTTTTTAATTTAACTTCTACATCAACATTTGATGGTCGTTGATGAATATCTGTATCAAGCCAAACAAGAGATAAATTATCAATATTTGTTGTCGATGTATCTATTAATATATCTTGATGAATACATGTTGGTATAGATGTAATATCTTTTCGTGATTTTTTTGTTGCTATAGATCCATTTAGTTCTGATGAAAATGATGGTAATGTCTCATCATAGTTTTGTGATGAAATTCCATGTTCAAAATCATATTTGCCATTTTTCGATCCCATTTTGTTCAAGGAAAAGTGTTGATGACGCTTTCGAACTTTCGTTTTTTTTTCTTCTTTTTCGTTGATTTTTCTCTGGAGACTGATTTTCGTTCTGTTACTTTTGTTGATCTAAGTTACACATGCATTATATGAGAAACGGATTCAATTCATACTTATGATCGAACGTGAAAGAAGTAAAAAGAAAATGACAAAAAAGAAAGAAAAGAAAAAGATCTCTCACTTAATTGTATTTTTCTTTCTTGAACATATATATATGTATAGAATAGTCAATATCAAAGTGAAAGAAATACTTGATTTGTATATTTCCGTTATCAAAAAGATCAAAATTTTTACGATGGTACTTTTAAAATGATTTATTTCACATCTATGACAATGTTGATTTTGACTAAAGTAATCTGTAATCGTATAACATTGTTATGTGAAATTCTTGGAAGAAAAAGATTTCTTTTGATATTCAGGATGATGATATAGTATGCAAGAATGTATCTAATGACCATACTTTATTTTAATATCAATAACGATACATGAAAGTAAAAGTTAACAAAATTAAGTTGTATTAATATAAGGTGCACTATTGAAAATTTCTTGTTTGTTCTTGGAAAATGATGACTATGTAGCTTTAGAGTATATATGTAAAATAATTTGGATTTGATTCTTTATATAAAAAAGTTAAATTTAATTAGAGAATAACTGTCAGATGTATAAAAGCAAAAGTTCAAGATTTTCAGTGAGTTCGAACTGCAAAGATCGTCCTTACAAAACCAGTTTTCTAAAGATCTGTTCTTTTCTAGAACGAGATTTTTTGTTTCGCTATTATCTTGCAATCTTTTAAAAGAATTTATTCCATTTAGAATTCGTTTTTGGATTTCTATGTCAGTTACAAGAAAATTTTTCGTTTCCATATTCGTATTCACTTATATTGCTAAGAACAAATAGATTCAATTCCATATAGTTTTTAACAAGACTCTTTATACTAACAGTATTTTATAAATGGAGATGCATAAAGTGAAAACTTTTGTCTTTTTCTGTGTTATTCAATGATTAATATTAGTTCGAAAGAATAATTAATTAATTCTTATTTTTCCCTTATTTATATTTCTACTTGCTATAACCTCTTAAATCCGTTCATTATATTCAATTCGAAATATTCTTATTCAAAAATCGAGTTTTTTTCTTAATTTAATTCTGAAAATGAAATAATGCATTAAAACAATCAATGTTTTTTTCTAGCTATGTCATTTCAGTATACATAACTCATTAGGTATTTTATAAAGATAGTCATTTGGTTTCATTCAATTATCATCATAATACTTATCGGAAAGAGTATTTGTTCTTACTAGAATGTAATGTAATACTCATATCAATTAATGTCAAGATGTACTTAGATTTAAAAAAAAACAAAATGTTTCATTCTCATAAATTCATTAAATGTATGGTAAAATATCATTTCGGAGAACTATGAATTTGAATAATTCTATTAATCAATATTAGAAAATTTATATAAGTATGAATACATAACAAAAAGTGAATTATTCATGATTTGAAACTGCAATATAATTTTTTCTTCTTCATGTAATGTTACTCGAACTATTATAAATGTTCGTAGACAACAATTAAATACTTATTTTTTTAATACACGAACAATGTTATTTCAAAGTATGTGTTTGTTTTTATCGTGAATGAATAGTCTTCTGGTGTAAGACTTGAATTACTAATGGAGTACTATAAATATGTCAAAGCATTAGATGCTTTTTTTTTTTGTATTCTTTCGACTATGATAAATGATCGGTTCTTTTTTTTAATAACCTTATTCGAAGTATTCTATTACATCTATAGTCTTAGGTTATGCCAAAGTCAACAGTGTTTGATAAAATCATGTATTGAAAGACAAATTTATATGTTTGATTTTTTATCTTAATCAAACTTCTTAAGACCTTAGAAATGGAGATGAATATTGTACGTTCATTAAGAGGGAAATAACCTTCATGCAATTCTAGTCATCTTGAAATGTATTATTGAATACGTATGTTTGTATATTAATTAAAATATAAAAATCACTTTGACAATTTTGTTGATATATGTTCATTTAGAAGAAAAATTTTTTCATTTGTCTTCGATTTCTGTTAGCAAACTATGTATCAACAATAAAAAAAAAAACAAACAATACTTTTGACTCGCTAATCTAGCAGGATATATTTGAATTGTTTGTTATTCATTTACTCATTTTAATATAGATATTAATATTGATCTTGTTTCTTGTTATCAATGATATATTACAAAAATATTTCAACAAGTCATTTTAATGGATAAATTTGCATTAGTTTTCGAAGGTGAAGATATTAATGAGAGATAAGATGATGTTTTCTTGTCTATAGTTAATCATTTTTCAATTCAATTTTATTTTTTACTTTATAATATGAAACGTTAATTTCGTTTGAAGTTAGTTTGATTTTTCTATTGAGATATAAAGATGAAACAACAAAAACTTATTTTATTTATCGTAAAATTCCAATCGTAGAGAGTTGATTTTGAAGTTTTGAAAAGTATCTAATGAAAAAAAAAAAAACTACGTCATCAAACATACGAAAATCAGTATCACATATATAATTATATTCAATATCTTGTGAAGAACTTAAATCTTTTGCAATGTATCATCGATCCAAACATGTATCGATCTCAATAATCGATCGTATCGACAATTGGAATTACTATTTGTGAGAATCACATGTTTCAATTGTTCAGACTGTTCTGATCGATCGATGTCATGTATTCGATTACAAAAGAATGATACTTGAGCAAGATATTTCAAATTATCTATGAGATGATCAAGACATACACAGGCGTGATTGAGTGGTATTCGTAAACGTTCGACACGCGGAAAAACAGAACCAAGCGAATCGATGATATTATGATCTTTAATATCGAAATCACCTCCGAGATCAACCGTTCGAATTTGATCCATTTCAAGGTTTCGTACATATTCAAGAAATCTTGGCACGTTCTTCCAGATAGAAATATGACGGAGATTAGTCATTTCATTTAGAGTTAATATTACTATAGATCTATCGACGGATGAAGATAGAATCAAATGTTGTATTCGATTAAGATTGAAAACAGTCTGAAGAATTGAATGACGAATATGACAGTAGAGTTCTAATGTTGTGACGTACTTAAGACGAGGCCAATTTTTTATTGAATCTTGATATAGGCTGAGATCAGTTATTTGATCATAATAGATTGTAGGATTAGGTGTAGTTGAATGGATAGGTGGTCGAAAGTAATTCGAAACTTTGCGGTCGGCAAAGCTAGGCACGGAAAAGAGATGTTTGCTATTGTATGCAACAAACCAGCATTTTTCTTCTTGCCAATATGAACTACGAAATGAATCAAGAACTTCTTCAACGAAATCCAGTCGAACTTTTAACATAAACTTCAGTATGATCAAAGAACTCGTCAACATTTTCCATCTGTGTCCATCAACAATATCAGTTTGACCTTGAGCATACAATTCAAAATGTTTCACTCGAGGCATACGCCGAAAAAGTTGTTCTATTTGATCCATCGAAATCCTTGTATCTATCAATTAGAAGATAACATATTTTTTTCTCGAACATCATTAAAATTCTAAACAAACAATTTTACATTTCCCCGGGAAACCACATAGAACTCAAACAGAAAGAAGGAGGAGGAGAGTGAATTTTGGCATCCTGATAAGTAACTTTTTCCTCATTGAGAGTCTTACCATCCATTCTTAAAACGAATCGAATCACCTCTGGTAGCCAACAAATGGATTCGATATTTAATTGTCTTTGTTCGAGACCAATATTGAGTGATATTAGCTTTGGTGCTATGTTGAACATGTGTTCGAAGAGATTAACCGAACAGTGATCAAGTTTCAAATGACGAAGTTGAAGAGCTGACATCGATATTAAGAATTGACCATGTGATAGTTGCAGGCGGGTCAATCGAGATATTACTTGTGCTAACGAATCGAATAGAGGAGAATTAGATTGATAGATTTTTTCTGTTGAAAAATTGTGCCACGGTGGATTCATTTCATATTTATGCGACGTATTGATCACTGATAGCGACTGTAACTCCTTCAATATGTGCAATTTCGAAGCAATCATTTCCCATGAATTCAATGCGATATCGACTAATTTAATTGATCTAAGTCGAGTGAACTGTTCAAGTTGAAAAAGAGAAAGAAAAAGTTGTGATTGACCGGGTGTGTCTTTATTGTCAGACAGAATCAATGAGATGACTCGATCAGATGTGATATGTCGACATGCAAAATTAAAATGGGACTTCCGAATTGATTGCAAGTCCAAACGATAGTCGAAATAAGCGTGTAATACGTCATCAACATAAGAGCTCACATGTGAAAACGAAATGAGAATTTCATGTGCTGCAAAGTAGCTGAATAAGTCATGCAATAGTTCCACAGGAAAAATGTCGAGAAGACAGTGGGACATGTCTGAAAGTATATGTTACAAAAAGCACAACTATTTAATATCCATGTACACAAAGTTAAATATTATAGTTAAGCGCACATATACATTGCGTTGTACTGTTGCAATCAGCATTTGTCAGAAAACAGAACGCAAGAGAACGAATAGTATTTAGATGAATGAATGTGCCATGATGCAAGTATCCTTATTCATCAGGAAAAATACTATGAGCAGTCAGAAAAGTAAAGCAGCATTTTGTTGATGAATAGCTTTCAGTTTTTTTTTTGGATAGCATGCCAATGCAATTTCAAGGTAAAAGAAAAACAAATTCTTGATTAGTTCCAATTTATGGCATTTTTTCTTGTAATACAAACCAAAGATTACAGAAAGAATGTTTTATTTGCAATTGTAACAAATTTTCAGATACTTCGACATACTTCTATAGTATTGAACGATCTCTCGGACTATTCGTAATGTAAGTCTTCAATATACATAATGAACAAGCAATTTTATGGATTAATAGGTGATCAAGATTTTTATCATTCGTTCACTTTACATAGGTCTGTTAGCTTGTATTTGATGACTTGTGATTACTGATTTACTCGAAGTTCGATTCTATTCTATTCGTATTAAATGTGCTTTCACTGAGAGCAAGAAAAACAAACGACACAGTTCTAACAAAAGACGATATACTTTTAAAGGAGACATTCATCAAGAACTTGAAATTACATCGAAGATTTTTTGTCAAATATAGGCACTGGTTCATCCACTGAGTTAAATAGAAATGTTGCTGAGCTACTTAATGAAGATGCCGTCATTCAGGTGGCTGATGTAAGCTAATTTTTCCATACTGATTTTCTTCCAGAGCCTTCACGGTTGAAAGGTAAAATGATACTGAAGGAGTATCGTGTAGAGATCAACAGCATTAATAAGGCCAAGACGTGTATATTGGTCGAACAAGTTCGGTACACGTTAATGAGATCAATCAACAAAATAGGACACTTCGCTTTACTTATCAGAAAAGTGTGGAAGCGATGCATTTTGTTGCTACTTGAGATTCATCACTCGTTTTATGGACAATTCCAGCTAGGTCAGCGTGGTTAGTTTAGTGGGCTGACAGATTTTCTCTATGTGAACGTCATCATATTGCACACGTACAAAAGAAATTTTACTTGTCTTGTTTTGTCAAACATGTAGTCGGTCACTTGTTTCAACCATGAGAAGAATATGTCAAATGTAGATCAATAAGATTTATTGACTAAAATCAGTATCATTTTCATGAAATTTAGATGAAGCCAATGAACCCACATTCAAGAATTCTAACCACAAATTTTATCGATTAAACTTTTTATTTCTCATGAGATAATTGCACATATTTTTATCCGGACTTGGTATGAATCTCTATCATAATTCGAATTTCAAAAATAAAAGTTTAGTTAATTTTATTTATACAAGTTGTGCATGTTTCAATTTCAATTAGAATTTTATTGTTTGAATTTGCTCTTTGATTTCATTAGAATCATTGGCCCATTGATCTATTTCACATATTTCAAGATCTCGGATATAATAGTCAATCATTGAGTCCAAATCATATTGCTATTCATTTATGTCAGTCAATGCTTCGTGAATATCCACAATGCTTTTATTATTTACGATCTCATTTTCTAAATCAATATCTTAGTCTGTTTGAAGGTGTGTAAGTATGTGCGTATGTGTTAGGTCTCCATTTCAGCCACGCCCACCACGAAATATGATAGATGTATACGAGATTACTCCATCACGTTTCACATTTTAATTCTATAGGATTTGCACTGAAAGCTTTTTACTTTTATTTTTACTTTTAAGTAGATTCTATGATTCTGTAGTCAATTATTAGAAATACGTTTGAATTTTTATTCTACTAGCGGATGCACTAAATAGAATAAATTGCACTATAGTCCTGACATCACTATGAGAACTCAATGGATGTTAGAGAGAGAGATGTGAGAAAACATGTGAAGATAACTGTTTTTGACTACTTCTTAACTTTTACTTGCTCTCTTTACTGCTCCTCTCTGCACGTATTGGATTTCTGTTCTAGAAACTATGTCAATAGAAGAACTAAGTGGACATGAGAATATGAAAATAAGGATACGAGGAAGAAACCAAGAGAAGATTAACATACCATAGAACATGAGTAAATCAATACACACAGACAGTAAAGCACAAAAAGCTAGTTCCGATAGGTATATTCGCATGCCCGAAATTAACCACATCTCTTTTGTTTTCGACTCTTTTAGTCACACTATTTTCGGGTGGCCTCAAATTTATATTACAGGTAGAGTGTGAGCATTAGTCTGAATTGAAAGAAAATCTTCGTCGAAACACTTACACTAAATGTAACATACATCCATAACAACACCTACACTCTACAAACAAATAAAGTGTCTGCTTATTTCCATGTAGAACTCGCAACAGTGGACGTTCTTGAAAGCAAGTATATTTCATCACTAGCGGATTGAGTAAAAACAAAACTCTTGAAGCCATTTTTACTTTCGAGAGGAGACGGCAAAAAAATTGACAATGTGGAGTTTAATGTAAGCGTGTGCGACATGGAATTTTGAAGCAAAACATTAAGTTACACAAAAATCATTGTTTGTGTTATTGTTATTTCTTGAGAGATATGATTAGAAGAATTAGCAATATACAAAGCTTTTAGTTAAAGTAAAAGATTCTCTTTCAATATCTTGCAAAAATGATGAGATACATTTATGTTCGAAGTTGAGCTTGTAAAATCAATTTAATCTTCTAACGTTTTAAACTAGATCTTACTTCAACAACCGAAAGCTCAATATCGAACATACACGAAGTATATTGTCGAATAAATTTCTAAATAGTAATCTTTGCTCTGATAGAGACTTCCTATTCTATTATATATTTGAATAAATTTTGAAAATTACGTCGATGATGTTTCGTCAGTTTTACTCAGCTAATATTTGAATAAAAACAACAATCAATATTTGTTAAACGTAGATTTAATGCTTTTCTCAGGCAGGTACACAACGGTAGTAAGTTGAACCGTTCGATGGAATTCCTTCTGGATCGACGTACGTGTAAGTGCAACTATCGGCTCGAAACTCATGATGCTTATGATAATTAGAACGAAGAAACGCTTGAGTATCACCTGACTTTGGTACTTGTTTGTAAGAATTATAGCGCAGAAGAACATAATTTCGATCGGGTACAAGATCGAGCACAACGACTGTACCTTGCATTATAACTGGATCAGCACCCATCGATACGTTTGGTTCGTTTGACAAGTTGACTTTAAGGCGAACCGGCACGGTTACCTGTTGCTCATCTTTAATGCCTAAAATAGCATAGCCATAGTTGATTTGCTGTGGAAGACAACCGCCAGTGTCCGTTGTGTTCTTGCATGCACCTCTTGTTTTAATCATATCTTTTTTGCTCAGTTGTCGTTCGAGAAGCTTCAAATCGAACAAATTGTAGAATAGAATTACATCTTGTGGATTGTATACATGATCTGTTCCACTATATTGAATTCCAATTGCAGGCATAATATGATCATATTCATCACTTTTGTCATCTGCATCATCAACATAAACGGCGATAATGCAAGGATGTTGTCGAACAAGGTGTTGTTTGAGCCACGCACAGTATTTTTCAAATTGAGGTTCTCGTTCATTATCAAAAGGCCACCTCTCAAAGTCAAAAAGAAGAGTATCAAGCGTGTCCGCATCATTTTCATCATCAGTTATTAGAAGTTCTCCTTCATTGATCGAACGAATTAACTGTTGTGAAATCCAACAACCATAGTACAGACCTGTAAAAAGACACACATACATGTGAAGAAAATATCCTTAAACCATGAAAATAATAGTATACCGATAGATTGAAGTGAAGTTTCACCACAATATCCATGTCCATTTTTCCATTGCTCTCTTGGACTAATGTCGAGAATCACGCGGTTTGATTTCTTTCCTCCATCCATGATGATTGACGACGACGTATAAAAACTGAGTATGGTTCGTAACAATATTTTTCCTTTCTTACACTTCTGTAGGTAAAATACGTCGGCAAATTTTGCTTGTTTAATTCAATGCTTTTTTTTGCGCACCGTAGTAGTGATGCAACCACTTCTCTCTGTGTATTACCTGACATGAGCGACAGAACGGAAAGCAACAATCAATACAACTATGGTACACTATTGGAAAAAAAACAAATGCCTTCGAATTGATTTATCTGGAGATTGCATAACACAACTGTAATAGGCAACGAACTCCGCAAGTTTTTTGACTAATTAAACAATACACAAACTTGAGTATATACAGCCAGTTCGCTAGACGATCAAAAACATATTTCTGTAGTATGAAAAGAATTCAAACAAAGCTTTTGAAACATCGTTATTGTCCATAATAAGCCATATTCATGCAATCATAGAATCTGAATTATTATCAAATAAAATGTTCATTGAATATTTGCAATATTTAGATTGACTGAATATTTTTTTTAAATATGTTCCAAAGACGATATCTGATCAGTTGTGTATGAAAACTGCTCTAGGGATTTTTCACTCATGAAATTTAATAATCATTAATCATTGACATTGTCATTCGAGTTTCTAAGAATAATCTAGATAAATAGAAATTCATGTTCATATTTAAATCTGCACGACACTCTATATATTTCATTGATAGAAGTGATGAAATCAAAAGAGAACTAACCGCACAATTTCAATTTAACCAACTAAAACTCCCAAAAATCTTGACTTGTCATTTGTCACTGATTTTTAAAATTTTTTTCACATAAAAATTTAATGTTTATTCGTTACTAATCAATATATACTTAAGTATTACTTCTTGATATTAATCATTTTAAATGAGATCTAGTTTAAACCGCCTCAGGAGAAGGATTTTTCCATGTCGACATGGAGTAAAATTCAGGAATCTCCTCAATTCGACACTAAGAAATTGCCATAACTCTTACTGTTTGGTACTGATGGAGGTGTGGATATAGATGATGATAATGGAAGATGCCACATCCATATCCTGAATTGAGGCAATCTATAATTTTAAAAGATGAGAACGGCTTCAAAGAAATGCATCACATTTTTCTTATGTTACTTGTACACATTACGTACGACTAATCTTTTTTTTGCCGAAAGATTCGACAGAAACGAAATACTATTCATGATTCTTTAAAAGAAAACGAGATGAATAATTTAGCATACAGAAATATTTGTTTTAAATGCTTGATATTTTAAAATTTTCTGGATAAGATTTGATTTGTCTTTTTTGTTTTCACTTTGCTTTTAGATAATTAGTCACTTTTGAATAAATGTAATAGCCAATTATTACAAGACTCGAACTTGATTTGAACATATCAATTCAAAAAACAAACAGAATTTTTTTAAAATTAAATAACATTTGAAACGCTTTCAAAGAAAAATTAAAATTATCTGTAATCATTCAATCATGAAAAAAAAAAACTTGTAAGAGTTTCCCAATGTGTATACCGATCACTAATACTATAATAATTGTCATGATTATTGCATAAAATGACAATGAATATTATCTTTTTCTAATGTTAAAAAAAGATTTTGTTTTTCTCATTTACTCTTAAGCATCTCAGTAGATGGAAGAGTAAATAGCCATTAAACACTTTTCAGGATCATTCTATGGCTGATGATACTGAAGTTTGCATGAATATGTATCGAACAATATTGTCACTTAGAGCCAGGATGGATTGAGTGTCTCAATACAAAACTTTCAGCTTTCTTCTACCATTTCTTCATCAAAGGAATGCATTATTCACTTTCATATTTAATCAACGTGATCATAGTTTCTCTGGATTAACCTATCAAACATTAAGAAAATTGACGAAAGATAACAATCATAATTAAAATTCTACAGTAATAAGTTTCTTTTTTTTTTAGATAAATTACAATGGTGACAGTACTGAAAATTTTGAGTGATGAAGTTATGATGGAAGTTTTCGAATATTTGGATGCATATAATATATACAGAGCATTTTTTAAACTTAATTCTCGTTTTAATCGATTATTGAAAGATAATCAATTGTATTTAAAATTTAATTTCAAACATGTAAATTATAATCATATAATTGATGGTGAAATGTGGCAAACAATGATAAAACATTTAACAGCAGTTACATTAATCAATGATAGACATATTCGAATGTTGATGTCTTCATTCATTGAGACTTTGTGAAGTTCATATAGGTAAACGTTAGAAAACTTAAAAAATTAAAATGAATTTTTCTTCTCTTAAAAAAGAATTATCAGTTGTAGAATACATTTCAACTTTGAAATCATTAAGAAATTTATGCGTTCGAGCATTAGGTGCAATGGATGCTCTTGTCATAATGGACTACCTGAATTAAAATCATTCGAATGTATTAACCCTGTGATAATCCAATGATTGTTTTACTTAAATGGCCTGAAAAAAACAAATATAGAAAATTTAACAACTGAAAGTGTTATGTGTAGTTTACGTGATATTCTCATACAAATACCAAAATTAAAATATCTGAATATTAAATTGTCCATTGGGGACGAAAAAGTTTGGCATTAATTAATTTTCCATTACCGATAATGACAAATCTTACTCATTCAAAAAATAAAAATTCATTCGATTTCTTACATTCATTTATATCATATATTGAAATCTATGCCATGTCTCGAAGATCTCGAATTGTCTGGCTCTTCTATGGGTGAGAATTTCAATAATGGTCATCGATTAAAACAATTATTTGAACATATAAAGGATGTTCAATTAGATGATCTCGAATGTCTAACAAATTCTTCATCGAAAGATACATTATTAGCAATATTTAATGATGATATAAATGGATATTGGTTTGATGTAACATGTTCAATTAGACATAATAAAGCTTATATATCAGCATTTGGTCATACACAATAAAATAAATATGATCGAAAAGAATTTACGAGAGAACATTCTTAACTACCAACTAGCTTTTCATTTCAATCAGTTATGATAATTAATAAGAAATTTTCTTTTGGTTTGATTTTTCAATCTTCAAATGTCATAAATTCTGGTATCTGTTACTAATTCGGAATTTATTAGGATCTGGATATTTTGTATAATAAACCTACTGAAAAAATTAAATATATTCGAAATAGGTCTGGTAGGATATTCGATATTATATGACAGAATTTATAATAGAAATCTTTTTACAATGTTCTAATCAAAAGAAAGTCTTGAGTAACAGAAGAAGAGTAGACCGAACAAAAATTCAAACCTTAGATGTATGAACAGAGAAGCTATAAGACATATCTATGGACGAAAATTCGATCATTTAGGAGCTCATTGATTCTATGCCAACAGAACAAAAATCGAGTAAAATACCCTTAACTTGACAAGTAAAGATTAGAAAACCAAAACAAAGAAGACTCTTTTTATTACTTATCATGGTCGATCGAATGGCGACGTTCTCAAATGAAAAATGATTCGACAGTTGGAAATATTTTCTCGTAAGTTAATTTTTCAGAAATAAAAAAATTAGTACAAAAGTTATTTTCCTCTAATTTGATTGTAAGAATTTCATTATTTGAATTATAAAAAATTCAAAAAAAAAACTCATCTTTCATACAAGTGATCAAAGTGTTATCACAATCAACTAATTATTTAAATATAGTTTTTTTTTTTTTTCGAAATTTTTAATTTCTATTCTGAGAAACTTCAAAAACAATTCATTAATATGATTTATTCAAAAAATCGTTTCTACAACAATGGAAGACAAACAACTCATCATTTCTTTATAATTATACTGTTTTCTAAGGAAAATTATCAGTGCAAGATGTTCAATATTAACTTTGAACGATAGGATAAATTCAAAAATATGTAACTAATTGGATTCTAAATGATCATAACAATTATGATAGAAGCTTATCATTGAACCGGATAATCATCTACTCGATCATTAGACAACTTATCTCATAAAGTAATTATCTTCTTTTAATCTGACAAAAAAAAAAAAGGGAATGAATTTAAGGTCAAGGATAGAAAATAAAATCATTAGTTATATTCATTAAACAGTAAATTTATTCTTTTCAAACATTTATGCACTATAAATATCATCTATTCTTTTTATGTATGATTTCCGTTTTCGTATTGTTCTCTTAGATAAATAAAAAGCTGTTGATGAACTCTAATCCTTTTACTCTTGACATATACATATATCAGATATATATATTGACATGAATACACATATGTGTCAAGTAGAAAATGATGAATAGTAATTTGATCTATGATTATGTATAGATGTAAACAAGGAAGTAATTTTTGAATCAAAAACAAAACTATATATATATATAAAATCAAATGAAACTTCAAAAGTGTTAATCGGATGAAGAAAAAAAAAACAACAAGAATGAAATGAAATCATTTAATTGTGATCATATCAATGTATGTATCGTCTCAAGTGATTCATTCGATATAGAAAGGGTACAACGAAGACATAAATTTATTGAAAATGAAAATAATAAGTGATTTAGTATTGTTAAAATAAATTGAAAAAACAGACTCGGGACTATTTTTTTCAAGTGTATTACGATCGTTTGTCTGTTATTCATATTGGTGTATAACAGCAATCACGTCTTGCTTTTGATCCTATTGTTCATTCTTGCGACTGTTCTATGACGATTTCTCTAATGAGTCAAAGCATACAAACATTGAATTTTAGTAGACAGACATCAACTGTCGACATACATACATAGGGTCCCTTTAAGAGGTTATACATCAACACCAAAAATGTAAATTATACTTGACAAATGAATGGAATCAAATCTTTTGTTTTTCTATTTGTATACCGATATGTCAAGTGACATGAATATCTATATAATATCGATACTCACACGTGTTTAGGTATGATCTAGGGAAAAACAAAAAGTTAAGTTTTATAGCTTGCATGTCAATATCAAATTATGATCATCAACGAGATAATATATTTATCGATTTTTATATATGACATCTTCATAGATTCTTGATTTTATGTATTTCTCAAAATACTAAATATGATTTGTGATCGAATTTATTCAATCGTAAGAACTATCGATAAAGTGTTAATAATTGCTTTATTTTGTTGTTCCCAATAGTCCACTAAAGATATATATATATATATAGTTTTTTTTCAAGTATATGTGTGAATGCCGATCATCAAACGATAGACATCTTCTCTCTCTAGATCAATTGACAAAATGTTTATGATGTCATATGTTTAGATGACATTGATCTCTGGTGTTGAACCGCCGGGCTTTCTTTTTTTTTTTGTTGAAAGAAAAAGATAACCAGATAGGTTAATATGTGCACCTGTTATTCATGGTATCATCTCAAAAAAAAAAAAGAAATCAATTAAATTCACGATTGGCTTATATATACGGTACCATATTTACAATGGTGAATAGAAAAGTGATTAATCTAATGAGCAAAAGAAAACGATAGAGAAGAGAAAGTTCATTTTTTTTTCTTTTCGATTGAACATATATACATAAAGGGAACCAGCTCGTCTATACTTATAGAAATAAAAGAAACGAATACATACAGTTGTGACCAGTATTCGTACTATATTGAACTCAATAGACAAAGAAAAAAATCCAATTTACTATCGAGATATGAAATATCAATCCAAAGTAACTTACATTTATAAGATCGAATTTTATTTTTGTATATTCATCAATATATTAAATCCTGATATTTTCTATTCGTTTATTTTAGATAGAAAATGTTAATTTTCTACTTTATTTTGATTATTTCAATATCAGCATATGATAATAATAATACATCACGAATATATATTCATGAAGAACTTCCATCAAATACATTAGTATTTTCTTCGATATCATCATCAAATAATCTTCAATGGTTACCATCATCATATTTATTTCGAACATATTTTAATTTAAATCAAAATCAATCTTTATATACAACAAATCAGTTAATAAATCGAGAAGAATTTTGTGAAAAAAAATTTTGTCATTGTTCGGAATGTTTAATTAATTTAAATTTTTTACAAACTTTTTCAACACATAATATTTCTATACGAACTATTCAAATTATCATCAAAGGTTAAATTATATGATAGTTTTTTTTGTATGTAACGAATTTTTTTTATTATTTTCATTTAGATATCAATGATCATTCACCAACATTTAAAAAATCATTTATACAACTTCCTATAGCAGAAAATCTTCCTATTGATTATGAAATTCCACTTGAATCAGCTGTTGATAATGATTATGGTTTATTTTCAATACAGAATTATGAATTATATCCCATAATTAATAATCCATTTGTTTTATTAAAACGATCAAAACCAATTCTTAAACTTAAGAAAACTTTAGATCGTGAAATAAAATCAAATTATTTATTAAAATTAATTGCATATGATGGAGGACAACCATCATTATCAGGAGAACAAAATATTGAAATAATTGTTACTGAGTAAATTATTTTTTTTTTTTTTTTGTTTAAAATGTTTCTTTTTTTCTCTTTATGGAAATCATTTTATCATTTCAGTGTCAATGATAATGCACCAATATTTGATCAAATGTTTTATCGAAAATCTCTTCCAGAAAATCAACCAATTGATTCTATTATTTTTAAAATTCATGCTAATGATCAGGATGAAGGTGAAAATGCTCGTATAACTTATTCAATTGAAGATCAATTAAATATATTTAATATAAATCAACAAACAGGAGAAATTTATTTAAAAAAATCTTTGGATTATGAAAAACAACGTTCATATTCCATAACAATTAAAGGTTGAGATCAATATCTAATTGTTTTAACTTCTTCAGTACATATATATATATATATATTTAGCTCGTGATCATGGTATACCACAGCTGAACAATTATGCAACATTAACTATTGATGTAACAGATGTCAATGATCATGTACCAAATGTTTTATTAACAGAAGTTAATGGGACGATTATGAATAATCATCAAATCAATCTATCGGAATGTATATCAAAAGGTAAAAGAAAACAAAACAAAAAAAGACTTTTCTTCTTGAAGAAGTATGCTTCATGTGAAATAAGTAAATAAACAGATTTCGTTTTCAAGAAGAACGATATTTTTAAGCATCGAACAGATTTACTAATGTTGATGAAAAAATTTTAAAATAGTATAAAAAATTAATTGAAAGAGAAAATTTCAATAGTTTTTTTTTATAGAACAAAAATGAGTTATCATCATTGTAAAACTTATGTTTTTAGACTAGAAAAAATTTTTCGTTGAAATTAGGATTACAGTTCAGATCAAAGTTCAAAAATTCTGAACTCTGCAAATGATTGTTAATGTTTTAAAGTTTATTTAAAATCAAATAATTATTTTTTTTTTCCTATAGATATACCTTTGTTATACATCTATGTAACTGATAATGATTCTGGTAATAATAATAATAATCGTGTTAGTTGTACATTAAATGATACTCGTTTAAATTTAATTATTTTAACAACAAATGCATATTCATTACAAATTAGTGGTTCACCTGTATTTGATTATGAAATTGAACAATCAGTAGTTGTACAATTACAATGTACTGATTTTGGTATACCAGTATTATCAACTTCAATTTTATTTTATATACAAATTAGTGATTGTAATGATAATTCACCTGATATTATTTATCCATTACGATTTAATCAATCAATATTAATACCTTATGAAACAACTAAAATACCATTTATTATAACTCAATTTATTATTCAAGATGGTGATCGATTTCAATCGAATATATTCTCATATTCATTTACTGTTTCACCATTACTTAATATAAGTTTAACAAATAATGGTACATTAATTCTTTGTTCAATGCCATCAAATATTGGATTATTTACAATTAATGTAACAGTTTATGATATTGGAAATTTAACAAATAAAATATCAATACCA